ATAAAAAGCGGACCTTCACATGAACCTTCAGTGATTCAAGTGGAGAGTTTTGCCTCGATGTGATGGCTGCTAAGTGGTCAGGGGGGTGGCTGCTGAAAACTGGGATGACCATGGAAATTTGAAAAATAACACAGCTTTGAATTTTCCCTCCTAAATTGATCCCTCTTTGCATAAAAGAGCACATCTTTTGAAAATAGTGCCAATAGACTTCCTCAATGTAGGGAAGGTTGTCTCAACCTCCAATTTGTAAAAAACAAAAAAAAAACAAAACAAAAAAAAACCTCAATATCTTTTAAGTACAATAAAGAGAAGGGTAATAAAAGTATATTATTTCCCATAGATGAAACGGGTGATCCGGGTAAAGTTTTTTTTTTTTTTTTTAAGTAAGCTTATCTTTAATGGGCAAATTTGCTTAAATGGTATCAAGGTAATTTCTACTCAAGCAGAAGAAAAACGAAGATATAATAATATACTTGAGTATGAATCTTTAAATTTAGAAGATAGACACTTTTTTTTTTGGCAGTACTGGGGCTAAAACCCAGGAACTCATGCCTGCTAGGCAACCACTGAGATACATCCCTTATAAGCTTTTATTTTGAAAGAGTCTCAGCAAGTTGCCCAGGCAGAACTTGAACTTGTGATCCTTCTGCCTCAATTTTCTGAGTAGTTGGAATTCCAGGTCTGCCTGGTTTTTTTTTCCTTCTTCCATATATTTCAATTCTTATCCAAATGAAGCAAAATACCAATAATAATCACAGTTTCATAGAGAACGATTATAACAATCAAGTTTCTTCATGTTGGATTATTTATCTAAAATTTGACTTTAATCTCAATCATTTCAGAGAGAACATTTAGGTTTCTGTACTCTACAACATTTGTGTCCAGATTACTTGAAGGATCCATAAAATTTTACAGTTCTATAACCAATGCTTTATTTTGTATTATCTGACATGGTACATATTTACTATCTTATTTAATTTTACAAAGTAATTAATTGGAATATTACTCCCATTTAATATTGGGGAAAAAATTAAAAATAAGATGGAAAATGTAATTATAATCTGAAAGTGACCTACACTTCACAGATAAAAACCAAGACACAAAAATGCTAGAATTGCTCTTCAGAACCACATCACGTGTTTAACGTTATCTATGTTTTTCAACAATTGGAATACAAACTTTGTGTTTATTCCCCCATATATTCTAGAATATCTATTCTAAATCTTTGGTGGGGGGAAGAAAGATTTTTACAGAAAGTTTCCTGAAAATCCACTAATATTCCAATTTCAATGTAAGGAAAATTTTGAATATTTTAATAGACATTCTGAAAAATTAAAATTTGTATACGTGTGAATGTCAACTTTTACAACAATATCACTGTAGTAAATATTGTCCTCAAATTCATAGAAGATAAGTTTGATACATTTAAGATTAAGCTACTTTCTAAAGTAACTTTGACCATTTTATTAAGACTTTTTTGTAGATTACTGATTCATAAAAACCATACCTCATCAATAACAGGTACTCAGATTTGTTGAATAAATGAGTTAATGAAATGTTCAAAAAACAATCTTCAGAATAAATGTGGCAATATGTGTAAAAGATCTTGTAAATAGTCAACTGTTTTACAATTTTTTACTGTTACTGAAACTGTTAACCACAGGTACTCTGGCTTTTATTTCTCAGGGCTGTACAATTTATGCACTCCTCAACCTGAAGGGGCGCTCTTCCCTGGTCTATGGTAGCCCAATCACAGATGTCAGTCTTGATAAATTCATAGGGTAGTGTTTTAATCAGCTTTTTTATTGCTGCAACCAAAAGACCTGACAATAAGAAAAGTTTATTTGGGGGCTCGGTCCATAGACAGAGGTTCTCAGTCTAAGGACAACCAGCTCCATTCCTTGGGGCTTGAGGTAAGGCTGCAAAAGAGTGGCATCATGGCAAAAGAGTGTGGCAGAGATAAGTGGCTCATATAATAATCAGAAAGTGGAAAGAGACTCCACTCACCAGATACAAAATGTATACACACAGGCATGACCCCAGTGATCCACCTCCTCCAACCATATCCTACCCAACCTCAGATACCACTGGGTTAATCCCATCTGGGGATTAATTCACTGATTGGGTTAAGGCTCTCATCACCCAATCATTTCTCCTCTCAACCTTCTTGCATTGTCTCGTACATGAGATTTGGGGGGAAACCTCACATCCAAACCATATCAGGAAGTATGGTTTTGAGTTTGTGAATTAATACCTTGAAACCCTTCTAACAGATTGATTTAGTTCTTAATGTTTCTCTGTGTCTCTCTATATGCACAGATATATGTGTATCTATCACCTCCTGACTGCACATTTGGACTAAAAAGCCCAGAGAGTAAATGAGAGACAGGCAGCCAGGAAGCTAAAGATTAAGTAAAGGTCATCCTTTCATAAGGAAACAAACTTCACAACAAAAGATTTGCTTAACCATACAAATTTAATTAGCAAATAAAAAATATTTCATAAAATAAAATGCTCCAGCAATGGATATTACATGCATTTTCTTTTTGTTATTTACTATATCCTCTATGGCAAAAGTATTTATTTTCAGGCACTATAGCTTCTAAGTGATACATTGCAATTTTAAAAATGTTAACTCAATGCATATTTCAACGCCTACAATGACATTCACTGAGTCAAGTCCTGCTCCAAGATTCACTACACAAGATAATAATTGTTAAGCAAACTGCCCAGTGCCCACCATAAAATACACATTCGACAAACTCTCTAATTTCCCTTTCCTTTTCTATGACCTAGTGCAATTGTCACTCAGTGAAAAGGGGCCTATATATGTAAAAAAAAAAAGACTGACATTCACACATTGGAATTTCCAACATTAGCTTTTAGAAAAAGACACTAAAAAATCTATTAAAGAATGTTTATAAAAATCATTACATCATACAATATATTTGATCATAGAAAAAAATGTAAGTGTATCTTTCAACAAATAACTTTATATGAATGTTTAATGTGGACATAATTATCAGTTGGGCTTTAAATATTACTTGGGATAAAATGTCATACTATAGATCTGGCTACTTTTTTCCACAAATATTTTTAAACAGCAGAAAAGTAAATTTTTTATCATGTTCAAAATGTATATAGGCCTTAATACCAATAATCATAGAAGCTATGAGAATCACAATACAATTTTAATAACATAACTTTTAATCACACAATGTAGAAGTATAAGTGTTTCATTAGCATAATTTATTGTAATATTTACTTAAATACCATAGACTTGAAGTCAATTAGATACACAATTCTTTTCCTCCTGCACATAATCTTTTGTACATGCCTTCATTACTTATTCAAAGTGTTGCCACTTCCCAAATATCAGGCACATTCATATTCAAACACTACATACAAAATGCATTCTAAACTCAAGTAATACTTTTGAGTATATAATTTTCAATACAAAGATTAATACACACTTACGTAAAATATTTCACATTTAAGAATATTATCAATCAATCACTGAGTTATACAGAATTTTCTTAATAAAAAATATTGCCATGAATATTTTCAAGAATTTGAAAGAAATTTTATGTGTACTATGTATTTTTTTAAGTTTTGAGTATTGTAAATACTCGTAAGATTGACAGATAAAGATGCATCATTAAGCAGCATGCTCTGAGGCCTTCCTTTAAAACATTACAGATCAAGGAGGAACTCAAGAAAAGCAAACACCTAATTAAAGACTTAGAGAACATGCTACAATTTGGTTTATATGAGAACTCATAGGAAGGATATTCACACATCTAATGAAAGAATGGCAATATTCACTTTGTAGAGTCAGCAAATTGTTCGTTTTTGAACATAACAACACTTGATCAAAAGTTATAGCCTTAGGTAGCCTTAAGGTTCTACATATTATTTTTCACAAATTGCAAATTTTAAATTATCATTCCCAAAGGATGGGCAAGGATGCAGAAAAGAAAAGAGGAGAATTAAAACAACGCATCCAGTTGCTTGCTTCTTGGGCACAGTGCCCTTACATACTCAAGATTTATCAAGTTATTATTGTTTTCAGACAATATGCTAAGGGAATTCCTTATTCTTTCGTTGACTCAATCCTATTAAAGTAGAAGTAGTATTGAGTTCATCTTTTACATGCATCCCTCAATGGTCAAAAAACCTGCACAAATCATAATGTTAACAGTCAAGCTTTTGACAGTAGACCTTCTCTTACAGTGTGAGTAAAACTATAAAACCTGGCAAAGTGAGCCTGGGGGTCATTTGATGGGAAGTAGGGCGCACAAGGTCACTTAGCTATTCTCACACTACCTGTTACCATGTCACTGAAGAAACTGGTTAGAAAATCATTGTTCTGGAGACAGAAGTTGCTCACAAGATTCCCTTATCAAATGGTGAGGCCCAGCTGTGGATATCAGAGTGTCCCAACACTGGGAAAGCAAATTATGTGATTATGTACATAATTATTTTAAAGTTTCAAGATATTCATGACATAGTACCACAGATTGTTGAAGTATGTTGACTTCATTATATTAACACTCATGTTAGTACTACACCACTAGCAAAACAACTAAGGCTTAAACTGTGTCAAATATCTGTTAAAGTAAATTGCTTTTCATGAAATCAATCAATTATGTAAAAGTCACTTGCAGCAGAGGAAAACTGTAATTCCAGGGTTGAGGGATATAGTTGCTCAGTGACCAAATACTTGGCTAACATGCATGAGGACCTGGGATTGATCATCAGCACTGCAGTAAAGAAAAAATAGTGGTGTGTGTGTGTATAATTCTATGTTTGAAGGAAACCCTACAACTTCAATTTTCAGATTTAAAGAAAGTTGAATCTAAAAGTATTCAATAATTTCAGGTATGTTTCCTAAAAACTAATTTTAATTAATTAATGTAACTTTTTAATATTTTTTAGTTACAGATGGACACAATATCTTTATTTTATTATTTATTTTTATGTGGTGTTGAGGGTCTAACGCCTCACACATCCAAGGCAAGTGCTCTACCACTGAGCTATAACCCCAGCCTTCATGCAACTTCTTAATGTAAAAGATATACCTCATTCTGAGCTAAATTACAGGGTAAACATTTCTATTTTTAAAAAGTCTTTATTAAAGAGTGCTTTAAGAAAAAAAGGCAGTATACATAACTAAAATTAACTACTAACATTTTCTTGTGATCCATTGTAGCTCACTTATATGAATATAACTGCTTAAATTTAGCACCATTTTTATATATAAAATTGATATGCTATAGTTATTAGAAACGCTTTTTCTCTACAATCTATTCTTCATGTCTTTGTATAGTACAAACACATATGGTCCAGGAAAAAAAAATTATTACAAATGTGCACATATGCTTAATGAAGTCTCGAGGGTTTTCCTTTCTTTTTAAAATGGAGATGCTTCAAAGGTAGAGAAAACCCTGAGTTTGGTTAAGTAATTGAAGTAAACATAAGAGAGAGTCACTAGTACATTTTTACAAAGTCCCAATATGGGTGTAATAGTCCCCAGGACAATAATTAAACTAAGTCTCACAAAAACAAAGGGTAAATCCTGTAGTAGGATGCCCAAGGAATTCAGAAGAGGGTTCTTGGGAGTGAATATTATTCGAAGAAGAGAAATGAAACTGAATATGTAGACTGGGTACAGCCAGCCCGACTTGTACACAGCCGAGTGACCAGCGACACGCAACATTTCCACAGTGTCCGACCACAGTAGAAAGCTCCACAGGAATACCTCTGCCCGGACATCTCTGCGGGACATTGTTCTCAGGATTCCAGAGTCAAAGGAGGGCTCCTGGGGTCCCACTAAGACAGGAACACGCCTTTGAGTCACTGCTCCTAGTGGCCGAGACACATGGATGGAGTTGGCTCCCTGGGGAGACGCAGGGCTGACTTCATTTTGTCTCACTTGCTCCGTCACAGTTTTTATTTGTTGCAAAGAGGTTGTGTGGATGTGCCCATCTTCATTGCCTGCAATCAATGG